CTCCAGTGGGCTACAGATGTCAAAGGCATGTTTAAAGTCCCTGTCTGTGCCCTGGTGTTCACGGAGCAGCCAGCCCTGTCCTCAGATGGGTGCATGTGGAGAAGTGGAAATGAGAACTGCATGTACCACAGTGTGACAACCTTCTTGCATACAAGTTCCAACGCTTTCTCTCTAATTCTGGCAGAGGGCCAGCGAGCTTTAAGCTGTCAGAGTCAGTGTTTTCAGGACTGATGGTTAACGAGGTCAAATGAAAGGAAAAAAGAGGTTGCCAACTTCCACTGCAGGTTTTAGAGATGAAGCAACCTGAGAGTTTCTTGAAGCTGAGCTGATTTTCAGCCCAGTGAGTGACAGTGTGGCCCAAAGCAAGGATTCTCAGTCTCTTTCTCCCCAGGAAGCTGACAAACTTGCAGATTTCCACAGAGATTGATTTACAAGGTGACCCTGATGCAGAAACTTTAAGACTTTAAGGTTTTGCTTAAGAGTAAACTGCCCCCAGGGACAATTGACTTAACTTTTTGGAGCCTCAGTCCCTTCCTCTGTAAAACTGTGCTGCTGGGAATAATGGAAGAGCCACCCCAGAGAGCACTGTGCAAGGTACCAGCCCAGACCCACTGGTGTGAAGGCCTGTGTAGCCCTGCTTAGGTTTCTGTGCACATCTGTGTTACAGCCTTAGAGATCTGTCCTCATGCCTTTCCCTGTCACCACTCCTACCCCCAACTGCTTTTAGTTCCTTAAACATATTTTGCTCTCTTTGTCCTGAAGCCTCCTTCTTCTACTCCATTTCCCAGCCAGAGAACAACTACTCATTTTCCTTGTCTCAACTCTTTTCCACGATTATTGATCTGGATGCTTTCCCTAAAAGCCTTCTCTCCTATAGATCCCAAGATGGACTTGTAGCATGGAACTTTGCATAAAATATACTTGGGAGTTTATAGTCTATAACTCCCTCTCTGGTCTGGGACATTCTTAAGGGAAGGGACTGCTTCCTCCTATTTTATTCTTTGCATAGCCCCCTTTCCCAATAAGGATGGGCTCTAGTGACCCTGTCCCAGGTTTTCTTACTATGTATTTCTTGAGCCACCTCCTCCCAGGTCACCAGCTACCTTGGAAACACCCTGTTCTCAAAGTCTACCATTCTGCTTGGCCTCACTGACTGATCTAGGGGTGGGCACTAGATTCAAGCCATGCCCCACAGTCTTCCCTCAAGTTCTTTCAAGCTGAGGCAAAGAAAAGACACAGGGATAAAGATATGACTCAGGAGTGTTGGAAGCCATGATCTCCATCTTGGGGGGAGACAGTGTTGTAAGGGATGAGGAGGAGGATTTGCAGAGGGAGGCAGGGAGAGAGCCCTCCTGGCAGTAGAGTCTGGCCCTGCAGTTCCTCCCAGGGTTCAGTTGCAGGTCTACCTGCTGCTCATCTGGCTAGTCCACCCTTCTTTGGAAATCAATAGAGTCAACAGATGCCCCTTCATACCTGACTTGGTCCCTTACTCTGCCCCTGCCCCAGGTCTGGCTTGCTCAGCAATTGGTCCACAGAGGGTACTCAATAACTATTTGTTGACAAATTGATAGCAGATGTGTGTCATCTCATTACAAATTGGCACCACACATGTTACCAATCTTGGTATCTTTTGCAGCAGAGTCAGAAAAATTATAAGAGAAAATGACAACTTGTAGAACAACTCACTCAGAACAAAAGTGAATTTTTTAGGTTTATCCAGGGTTACTGAGAGATTAGTAGGGTTTCACTATTATAAAACTAATTAGTATAATGAAAACATAACATAACAAAACTTAAGAGATACACTGGACAAGAAAAAAATTCATAGTTACAAACACTTAGATCAATAAAAGTGAAAACAATTAAATTCTCAATTCATAAGATAGGGAAAAAACTTCAACATAGTGAAAGAAAACAAGGCACAAGAATAGACATAATGAAGATAAAATCATAAATTAATGAAATAGAGAACCAGAAGACAATAGATCTGTGGAGTTAAAATCCTTGTACTTTGGGAAAATTAAGAAACAAAACACTAATTAATTCAGTCAAGGAAAGAGGAGAAAAAATATATAAAATCAAGAAATAATGTTGGGGAAATAGCTATTAAAAAGTGAAAATGGTAAAAATTCATGAGATTACTTTGCAAATTTTATGCAAATAAATCTGAATGTGTAAGTGAAATGGATAATTACCCAGAAAAATACAATTTTCCAAAATGACTTCTTTAAGAGAGAGAAAGCTTCAACAGAACACTTTTTTTTTTTTTGTTACAAAAGTGGAAGAAATTTTAAAGGAATTATCCCACAACTACAGCACCAGGCTTAAAGAATTTCACAGGAGATCTAAACCTTCAAACAACAGCTGGTTTCAATGCTGCACAAATTCTTTCAGTGCATGAAAAATAAAGGTAACTTCCAAATTATTTTTCTGAAGTAAATGTAACACTGTTCCTTAAACAAATACACATACAAATATTAGTGCAAAAATCATAAAATCAGTGAACAGAAACAATATCTGCTATGGTTTGAATGTGTTCCCTAAAAAGCATGTATTGGAAACTTCCAATGCAATGGTGCTGGGAAGTGGGATCTAATGGGAGGTATTAGGCCATGGGGGCTGCCCCCTTGTGAATGGATTTATGCTGTTGCCTTGGGAGTGGGTTCATTATTACAGGAGAGGGCCCATTGTAAAAGGCTGAGTTCTGCTATGGCACACCCTGTAATTCCAGTTACACAGGAGGCTAAGGCAGGAGAATCTTACAATCTAGGCCACTCTAGGCAAGTTAAGGAGACCCTGCCTCAAAATTAATTAGTTAATTAATTAATTAGGACTAGGAATGTTACTCAGAGGTAGACTACCCCTGGCTTCAATCCCCACAGTATTACTAAAAAAAAAAAAAAAAAAGACGGAGTTCAACCCCCCTTTCTCTTACTTCCTTTGCCCTCTGCCTTCTGTCATGAAATTACACAACAAGAAGACACTCAACAGATGCCATCTTGGACTTCTCAGCTCCAAAACTGTGAGAAATAAATTTTCATTCTTTATACATTAGTTTCTGGTATTCTGTCACAGCAGAACAAAATGAACTCAGACAACATTGTGTTAGGAAAATAATTAAACCTAAGGGAAATTTATTCCATGATTGCAAGGTTGATTTGATAGTATAGTAAAACACACCATTTCAGTGATTTATGAAGAATAATTTCATAATCTCCATTGATGATAAAAAGCTTTTGATAAAATTCAAAATTTATTTTTAACTTAAAGAACACTCATGAAACTTCCTTAATATGATAAAATATATAAATCCTAATTCATACATTAAGTGAAGAATCACTATTGGCATTTCCACTAAGATCAGGAACAAGACAAAAATGCCCATTATTTCCACTACTATTTTTTATTGCCCTGGAGTCATGAGCCAATGCAATTAGACAAGAGAAATCAATTTGAGGCATAGAATTTGAAAACACAAAGTAAAACTATGCCTATCTTCGGATAATGCAATAGTATACCTCAATCTGAATCAATCCTCAATTTAACTCAAGCAATAAAGAATTAAGGTAGAGAAGCCTATGGTCTTCATAATCACAACATAAATCAAAAGATAATAGTGAGGGGCTGGCTGGGGTTGTGGCTCAGTGGCAGATCACTTGCCTAGCATGTGTGAGGCCCTGGGTTTGATCCTCAACACCAGATATAAATAAGTAAAAAATTAAGGTACATCAACAAGTAAAAAAAGATAATAGTGAATAAATTACCACTTACAATAGTAATAATGAAAACACTTTAGGAAGAAATCTAGTAAGAAATGTGCAGAACCTATAGGAGAAACACTTTCAAATGTACCTGAAAGATATAAAAGTTGACATGAACAAATGGAAAGTACCCCTTTTCTTGGGTTGATGACTCAACATATTAAGGATGTAAGTTCTCCCAAAATTCATTTATATATAATTTAATAAAAAATACCAGCAAACTCTTTATGAGGCTAAATAATTGATATAAAAACCATGTAGAAAAATAAACATACAGATATCTAGAAACAYTGATATTTTAGGAAAAAAGAGCCACAAGGACTGTCCAGTTCTATTTTGCATTAAATCATGATATAAAATCTCTATTGCTAAAAATGTGAGATATTGGCACATGAATAAACAGAGATTAGTTGACTAGAATGGAAATCAAGGAATAGACTTAAGTATATGTGAAAATTTAGTATATGATGAAGGTGTTATCTTAAATCCCTGGAGCACAGGTGGGCTCTTTAATAAATGAAATGATGCTAGACAAGGAGGAGCTATCTGGAAAAATGACAACATTAGATACATACCTCACACTATCCACAGAAATAAATTCCAAATTGAAAATAAAAGGAGAAGAATAGGGGAAAAATATAAGAATTCYTCTATTAACTGGGCTTATAGAAAGAATACAATAAAAACAAAGGCTTGATAAATTATACCCTATAAAATATTTGCAGGGTCAAAAATAATTGAAAATTCATTTTTAAAATGTATATGTCTAGGGCTGGGGTTGTGGCTCAGCGGTAGAGCACTCGCCTAGCACGTGCGAGGCCCTGGGTTCGATCCTCGGCATCACATAAAAATAAATAAATAAAATAAAGATATTGTGTCCATCTACAACTAAAAAATAAATTTTAAAAAATTGTATGGGCTGGGGATGTGGCTCAAGCGGTTGCCTGGCATGTGTGAGGCGCTGGGTTTGATCCTCAATACCACATAAAATAAAATAAAGATATTGTGTCCACCTAAAACTAAAAAATAAATATTAAAAAAAAAAACTAAAAAAATGTATGTCTAAGAGGAAATCTTTTACCTTAAGTGTTATTTTAGATCTACTGCAAAAGCAATCACATCTTACCTAAATCAGCCACTTACATAGTTTTACTCCATAGTAGCATGGTGAAGGGAAGGAACTTGACAGTGGAGAGGGAGAGAGAGCCTCACTGGGGTTAGTATTGGCTTCCACTTTACCTTCTTCAGTTTCTTGTGGGCCCCGCTGTGGTTCCCCTGCTCCAGGTCCTCCCCACCCAGGAGCCGGTATGTCTCTGCCACCTCTGGGCTGAAATCGCCAAATGCTCCCACTTTGGCTTCCAGGGATTCTCTCAGGATCAAGGTTGCTCTCTGAGAAAGAGACAAAAATCTGTCTGGTTAAAAAGTTCAAAGGCTGATTAAAATCAGTGGTTTCTAAAGATAATTATGTAACTGTTATGGTTTAGCTCTGAAATATCCCCTAAAAGCTCATGTGTTGAAGACTTGGCCAATGTTCAGATGGAGGTTTGGGGAAGTGAGTGGCTCATGTAGGCTTTAACCTTTTCAATGCATTAATCAACTTGATGGATTAATAATTTGAATGGACCACTGGAAGGAGCGGGAAAGTATAAACAGGTGGGGCATGGCTGAAGGAAGTAGGTTTCTAGGGGACAATATCTTTTCCCTGGCTCTTTGCTCACGGTCTCTCTGCTACCTGGCTGCCATGAGCTGACAGCTTTTCTCCGCCATGTCCTTCCATCACAATGTTCTGACTCACCTGGAGCCAACCAACTACACAGACTGAAACCTCTGAGCCAATGTGCCAAAATCAACTCTTCCTCTTTTAAGTAGTTTATGTCAGGTATTTTGTTCACAGTCATGAAAAACTTACTAATACACATAACTGACTACAATTTCATTTTTTAGAGGAATGGGTTTGGAGGTCTTATGAACTGGGGTTGCTCTTCTCTGGTTAAATAGGAGATAGAAAATAACATATTTTGGGGGGAGAAGATTAAAGTGTGAAAAGAGAATGCATCAAGGCCACTTCCGGGAGGGAACTCACTTCAGCTATTACTGAAATTCATTTTGGTTGGGTGGTAAGAATAAAAGCTAACCAGTATGAGTGGAGTCCTTACGTGTCACGAACTGCACTGCATAGTTTGTATGATCTCATTTATTTATTTATTTTTTATGTGGTGCTGAGGATGGAACCCAGGGCCTGATATGTGCTAGGCAAGTGCTCTACCATTAAGCTAAGGCCCAGCCCATAAATTCTGTCTTATTTATATAGATACAATTTTAATCCTCATTTGACAAAAGGGGAAACTGAGTCATGGGGCAGCAGAAATTTGCTCAAGAGTCAGCTCATCAATGGTAGAGCTAGGTTCTGCATCCGGCCAGTAATTTTAATACCTTTAAAATCCACATTCTTTTTCCTCTATGCACACTGATGTTCTTATAAGAGAAAACTAAACAGCACATCCAGATCATGTTCTGGGTTTTCTATTCTCAGGAAAAAACAGTTTGGGAAACCAAAAGTAAACATTCCAACATGATGTGACATTTTGTTTGGTTGATTCAACTTATTTATATCAACTTGGAATAAAAAAATGTGAATTGGTCAGAAAACAATATTTCCTGACAATTTCTTCAGATACCAGGACTAAAACCCTGTTTAGGCATGCTGGTCTCCCACACTTCTTCCTGAAATTCTTCCACAAATTTCCACATGAGAGCACAGTTACAGTTCTAGGGCATAAATGCTGAATCCAACAGCCAAATAAAGCAGGGACTTGTGAAAGGGCTTTCTATAACACAGCCCCATAAGTGTCCTGATGGTGTCCCTCAGACAGAAGGGGTGAAAGGCTTCCATCCTTTTGTTGGCAAAAATATGAGTTAGGGGCTGGGCTGGAATAGCAATGGTGGGGACACCACATTAAAGGTGCTAATGAGGCAGAAATCAATTTCTTAGGAMGAAAGAGAAATTGCTGTAGGAGCAGAGTGATTGACTTGCTATGTGGGGCCCACTGAAGAACATGAAGGACTAAGATTTTAATCCAGACCTACCTGAGGGTAAGGCCCATCACATGCCCTCCTAACATCTGTGAGCACGAGCATAGACTGATGGGAGTGTTCGGTTTGGTGGCTTTGTTATGGGAATTGAATTATGTCAGTCTTTGGGGAGCCATGGATGGAAAGAAGAGCTGAGACTCCTTTTCCTAACTGAAGCTTTCAATGCTGTTTACAGCCTGACTGGGGAGACTGGAGATGGATGATCATGAAGTTAAATGGCTAGTTAAGATGACAGTGGAAATGATGCCACTGGTTTAGAGGAAGCAGGTGTCAGACTCTAATAGTTAGGAAAAGCTTAAGAGACAGGAGTGAAGAACAATTAGGGCTTAGGTGAGAAAAGTCCCCCAAACTGGAGAAGCACAGGACCTATTTAAGGTGAGTGAGTAGGTTCATTTGACTGCAGCAAAGTATGAAGTGGAGAAGAGAGAGATGGATMTGGTGGATGATCTGCTTTGTGCCAGGCTCCGGAATTTGGATTTTCTTACAGGAAATAAGAAGTCAGAGAAAGTTCTTGAGCAGAAGAGAGGCACTACTAGAGGTGGCACCACCTCCCTCCCCCTATATCTTATCCTGCAGCAGAGGGACCTTCTTTTACATTCTATTGTGAAAGATATTTCCTCCCAAAGATCACTTTCCTGTTGATGCCAGTTTCTGACTCATGTGTAGACTGTGAGCACATCTGGGAACATCTATGTGACTCCCCTTGCTTGTCTCTGTGACCATCCTTGGGCCCAGCCCTTTTTTGGCGAACTCCTGCTAAGCCCCACAGGGAGAAGTTTGTGACCAAAGGGTGAGAACAGCATGAGGCTGCCACGTTCAGCTGGGCAGGCTGCACCATGCACAAGGGCACCTGACAGGAGAAGAGACAGGGATGGAACCAGCCCATGTTGCATTTTCTCTGGGCACTGTACTCTGGCATGGGCTGTATCCACCTGAGCGAGGGACAGCTTTTCTATTCTTACAAGGGGCACTGGAAGGACTATCAGTGATCCTAGAATGAAAACAGTGTTTGCTAAAATCTTCAATGGCAGCCTGAGAGAGCAAGGAGCATCTTTAAATCAACACCACTGATTTGGGTGACCTGGGAAAGCAAGGACAGAGAGGCATAGCATCAGTGACATTGGGCATCGGTGCCTCAGCAGCAGACACCATGGCAGGAAGGCAGATGGGAACAGGAATGGGGCACATGCCTGTGGCCATCAGAGAAGTCAGCTGGCCTGCAGCCAAGTAGCCGTCCACCCATCTGCTCATCACTCCTCACCATAAACAAGAAGGTCCCTGTTCTCATGGAACTCAGTCTAGTCACACAAGAGATTTTGAACATCTGCATAAACTTCTACGAATGAATATTTTTCTACATCATACTGGATTCTGTAAGGGAGAGTCAAGGAGAAAGTCAAATGCAGATGGGAGAGGAAGCAGGGAAGCTGGTAAGAATTGAAGGATGCATTGGCATTAGCCTGAAATGAATGGAGAAGGGCTTCCCGGAGGAGAAGGAAGCAGACACAGCCCAGAAATGGGAATTAGAAAAGGCCAGTGTGACAGGAACACAGATTGGGGAGCAGGGACAAAATGAAATCAGAAATGTCAGCACAGTCTATATCACAGAAGGGATTATGGGGCATAGAGGGATTCTGGTTTGTCCCAAAGGCACTGAGGGGACATTGGAATATTTTACAAATGAATGTTCACTAATTGGATTTGCTTTTTGAAAGGTCACCAGGGCTTCCTTGGGCTGAAGGGGTTAGGAAGAGGCAAACATAGAAGCAGCTGGAAGACAGGAGCTTGCTAGAGTAGTCCAGGTAAGAGAGGATGCCTGATGGAGGAAAAGGGAAAACAATGGGTGGACTCAAGATATATATTGGAGGGAAAAATGGCTGTGGAGTTGGGTTGGGCAAGGCATGAGGGGCAGACTTACCCCGGTTCCTCTTACCTGAGCTCCTCATAAAATGTTTAGAGGTAGAACTGGGATGTCTAGGGGTGGGAATCTGAGGCCTCTGGAAGCCTTTCTCTCCTTGTTTGGGTGATTCAGAAAAACAGTGAAATGCCACTTGTTATGATGACTGTGGCCTTACTTTGGCCTGAGAAATATGGTGCATCTAGATTAAAAGCCCATGCTCCTTAACTGATAGAGAATTGAGGATAAAGGAAGAGCTGTTGGGGAAGAGGTCTACAGATGGCAAGGATAACAAAGTTTTCACCTCCAAGATTTGTCATGACAGGTTGGAAAAGATATTGAGCTACACCATGGCTTCCTTTAGCTTTAGGTTTCACAGGAAATAAGTTCCCAAGGGTTTAATTGCCAATGAATAAAACTCTGGGTCTTCTTTCAGTTTTATAGTCCATGTCAAGCACACCTGGGTAGATCCATGGTAAAAGAGAGTGAGCTGAAACTTCTGCACTGTGTAGCTTTCACTAGATATGCAAATTCCATTCATTACCCAAAATGAGGAGAGAAGAATAGACACACTAGCTGTCACCCTCTATCTCAACCAGAACTGAAGGCTGCAGTAAGCAGGGTTTTGTCAAGCAAGTTCTCAAGGTTTCTAACCCCTCAGAAGCTTTTGTAGGTGAATATGACATCTACATTCTCATTAACAATTTTCCAGTTTCTTAGTGTAAGTCATTTGGAAGCTACCCAAAGTGGCCTCCTGGTCTTATTTGTGTCCTTCCAGGGCAAGAACATGCCTTGCACATAGTAGGTACTTAATGGATACTTGCAGGGTAAGGAATAGCCCTTTGGATATCAACCAGGTTGCCCATGTGAAGAACTAGACAATTATGATCTGAGCTCACCTCTTTTTGTCCAATGATTTGTRGAAAATGGCAAAATTCATCTTGAATTGAAAGAAATTTGGCTCTTTCCTTCCCTTCAGAATCTTTAAGATGAGTCATACTGTCTTGAAAATACTGCTCAGCCATATCTGAAGAAAAGTATCATAACAACAATCTTGACAACTGCTCACAGATTTGAAGTGGAAACAGAACAAATATGCTTTTAACAGTGGTGAACTATTTGCAAATAATCAGCCTTTGGACAAGAGAAACCAATTAAGGAACTTGCCCTTTCCCCTTATCCTGCCTCTTTTACCAGAAAAGATTTAGGTCTCAGAAGGATACTGTAATTTCCTTTCCTTAATTTTCATACGTTTTAGCTTTCTTTGTGATAGAAAAGGTGAACTTAATGCAAGAGGAGAAACTATTCCCCATAACCTGAAGATGGTGGCAAGTTTGCATGCTGATTGTTCATTAATTCTTCCTATAACTCTGATTACTCCTCACTGATATTGGGATCCTCAGGGCCCACTTATTTTAATGGACTCTGACTGTAATCTTATTACATATTTCTATAACATGAAAAAGTCTGGAAAATACAGTTGACATGCTACTGGGGGATAATCCATGACCATTCTAAACCCTTAAAAATCCTGGCTATAATTTAACAAAAAATATTTTTAAATATATGCTAATCATGAAAGCAAAAAGGGAAAAGTTTAGGTATGGAAAATGAAGAGGGAATTGAAAGCCAGAACAGCAAGTGGGTATTAGTCAGCTTTCCATTGCTGTAGCAAAAACAGGAATGAGGTTGTAAAAGGACCCAAACTCCAGGAGACAATGGAGATGGCTCATAATTTCATTTTAGCCTAAGCAGAGAAGCCAAACTTACTGTGCCAGATTTTTGCTTTGCAGAGCTGTACTCTAATAAATAGGTATTTAAACCGCTTTAATTTCTATGAAGTAAAAGAAAATAAATACAGTTTATGCTGTGACTGAACATTATGCTCCCTCAAACTTATATGTTGAAGTCCTAACCGCTAAGGCATTAGGAGGTAGAGTCTTTCAGAGGTGATTAGGTCACGAGAGTGGAGCCCTTATACATGGAATTAGTGCCCTTACGAAAGGGATCCCAGAAAACTCCCTTTCGCTTTCTGCCATGCGAAGACACAATGAAAAGTCTATATAAACCAGGAAGCAGGCCATCTTCAGGTACCAAATCTAGCACTTTGACCTTGGGCTTCCTAGCCTCCAACTTTCTGGGAAACACATTTCTGTGTTTCATCAGCCACCGGATCCATGTTATTTTGTTATAGCAGCTTGAAGAGAATATTACACCCAAGAATCCCTAAAATGGTGATGAGAACCATTTCCCTGGTCTGAAGTGAGGCTGTAAGTCTGCCCATCCAGGGGCCATAGCTAAAAAATGGATATCTGTGGGGKTTTTTTATTTTTTATTTTTATGTGGTGCTGAGGATCCAACCCAGCACCTTGCACGTGCTAGGTGAGCGCTCTACCACTGAGCCACAACCTCAGCCCCAAAATGGATATTTGAAAGAATGTCAATTACAAAAACTGTCTCAAAAATTAAAAGTTAACATTAATTGAGAGCCAACTACATGTTAGCTTTCTTTTAAAATTTATTTTTCTTTCCTTCTTTTTTGGTATTGGGTATTGAACCCAGGAGTGCTTTACCACTGAGTTATATCCCAGTCTTTTTATTTATTTATTTTTTTAAACTTTGAGACAGGGTAAACAGGGTCCTGTAAGTTAATGGGGGTCTCGCTAAGTTGCTAAGCCTGGCCTCCAGCTTGCGATCCTCCTGCCTCAGCCTCCTGAGTTGCTGGGATTACAGTTGAGTGAGTGCCACCACGTCCAGTTATGTGTCAGTTTCATAATCGTTGCTATAGGGCTTCTCATCTATTCCAGCCTGAAGAGCAGATGCATTGGAGGCAGCAAGCAGCTGAGATGGACACTGAAAGGACAGAAATGTTATGAAAATGGACAGAATGGTCAAGGAGACAGAAGTCTGATGTGCAGGGAAATGGCCCTGCATACATCAACAGCTCTGAAAACATGCTGGAAATTCACAGTTAGAGTCCTGGGTGTTGTGAAAAGGTCCAGGTATATTCCATGAGATCCTCTTTAGAAAGGAGTGAAGTAAACCCTGGGAAATATGTCTGCCCAATCTAGTCAACCTAAATAAAACTTCAGTCTGAAACTGGGTTGTGTTCGTCCATACCCATCACAGTAAGATGTGATGCTAGACAGATAGAGGAATTCCTTTGCCAGGCATTTACTCCCAGGGAGGTAGGTCTCTGCTCAGGGTCTGTAGTTGGGCAGAGGTTCTCTGCTCCTCTCTCTCAGACCAGCAGCTACATTTGCCATATTGCTCAAGTTTTTGTCCTGGTAGAAGAAAATTCCACCACCTGGACAATATTATGTCTCTTCTACTCCTAACTGACTCATGGGGAAAACATTACAGATTTTATGCTCCAACTAAATTATTAACTTTGGATACTTTGATGATCTGAAGACAGCCAATGTTGGGGGCGATGTGTCATTCATTTTGTTGATTCTAAAAGCATTTTTTAACTGAACAGTCCATGTCTAAAGTGATGGAGGATATTCAGAAGTAGAGTACTTTTGATATTTTAAGTTTTTGACTAATTAAGAATTAACTAAAGAATATAACTCAGCCCTTCAAGTAAAGACATTGCTGGGTGCGGTGGTACACAACTATAATCCCAGTGATTGCAAATTCAAAGTTAGCCTCAGTAACTTGGCAAGACCCTAAGCAACTTAGCAAGATCCTGTCTTAAAATAAAAAATATAAGGGCTGGGATGTGTCTCAGTGGTTAAACGTGCGTCCTTGGGCTCTATCTCTGATACAAAAATAAACAGATTAATAAAACAGTAAAGCTCTATCCACACCCCAGTCCCATCCCCTTGGAGACAGGCCCTAACTATGAAGGGTGGCAGACATGAGGGGTGTGGGAAGGAGCTGTAGCTGAAACACGCTGAGTTTCAGACCCTGGGTATTGGCAGAAGCGGTGTTGCATGCACAGGGAAAGGTGAAAACCAAAAGCACTGGGTGAGGCATTTCCCTCCCCTCTCTTGGGTCAGGAGCCAGTCCCCCAGGCACAAGTGGACAGCCGTGCTGGACACCTTTACCTTGTAACATTCTCCCACCTCCCAGTGTTCATCCCCTGGGTGCTCACGGGCTGGCCAATCACTCTCCCAAAACACCCCAATTTAGGCTCCAGGTGCAGCATGCTGCTTGCCCTCAGTGCAGCTAAACTGACAGAGACTTTGAGAAAGGAGTTGCAGGGCCTGATTCAAACTTATGTGCAAATGGCTTATAACCAGGGCTCAGGAAGATTGGTACGTTTTTTCCAAAGAGGATACTTGTAGACAAATATGAATCTCTGGAAGAAAGAAGGAAGGAAGGAAAATGTTACCTAAACTAAGGCCTTATAGCTCACAGAGGCCTCAAGTGGGCAGGAGGGGACAGACCTTGCCTGGGAATCTGCCCTCCAGGGTCAGGGCTCCTCAGGTCCTGCTTCCCTTCTGCCCTTTCTGAGCCCCCAATTTCTCCAAAGGTCTGCGTGTTTCCTATTTCTGTTCCTGGAAGCAATGAGCAAGCAAAAAAGGTTTCCCTGACAGGTGTTGTCACATGCATCGCACATCAGACATCTACAACCCCCTGGTAGGACCTGTGTATATTAGGACAACCTTGAATCATGGGAACAAAGGTAGGTCTCAGTCATGTGCAGTGGTTTCCTTCCTCTCTATACATTTGAAACCACTTTTATCTTTATCTGATCCAGGATCCTTCACTGTAAAACCCTGCCCTACATTTCCCCACCCCTTCAACCTTCCAAATTAACTTTGTGAAGGACAATCCACATGACCACCTTTAAGGGGAAAGAAAATTGACTCCTATTCCCAGAGCAAAGGAGCCATTTCCTGATAAGCTGAGTTTCTCCTCCCAGGGGCATCCCAGAGGTCCCTCTGGGCCAATGACAACAGGATTTCCGAAAAGACAGGAAGCCATAGCCCCTGGGGTGGGAAGCCACCTCCCTTATGTCCCTGGGCCCTGGGTGTGGTTCACCAAGAGCCAGCAGTTTCTGTGTTCTTGCACATGGTTGTTCCTACCTTTAAAAAGCACTTCTAGAATCCTCTGCAACCTGATGCTGATGGCCTGGCAAAAGATGAGGTCATTTTCTAAAACACAGGAACACGACCTAGCTTGTAAATCTGAGCCCTGGTGGCAGAGGTGTTCCAAGGCCATGAATTGCTTCCAGTTTTTACYCCAGCAAAATGTTTCGGTTTCTGTGAGTCAGGGGGTGGTGTGTGTGTGTGGTGGAGGAGGGGAGTATAGCTCAGTGGGCAGGGTGGTTTACTGTCTATAGATGGCTTTGTTTGGGACTGGAAGTCGCGCCCTTTCTAGACAGACTGTCCTGAGATGTTCACCTACAGTCAAGAGAAAATTGAGGCTTCATTCACAGAGTAGAAGGAACAAGCAATATAGCCCCTGGAGGTCAGAGGCTTTTAATTAAAATAAATTCTGGTAACCTGGGGCTTGTTTCCTGAGGCAAGAGTTGGAACAGTAAGGACAGCTTTCCTTAAGAGGGAGGTCTCCATGTACAATGTGACAATTATCTTTTTTTTAAGTCTTAGAAAATAGTCTTTATACAGACTGCAAAGAACCCAGGGGATTTAAAAATGGAAAGTCTCGAATCTTGGCCTGGCATTCATCCAGCAAGCAAACAGATCGAACTTTTCAGACCCTGCTGCGGCTGTTGCCCAAGGCTACGGGCCATCTGTGGGGACCACAAGAGAAGCCTGAGGACACAGAAGCCCAGCACACTCTCTCCCCTCATCCTTTCTCTGCAGCAGATCCTCTTTGAGAGGGATACCAGGGCTGGCCTGTGACATGGCTTCTGGGGGTAGTAGAGCTGCTGCTCACAGGCTGGTGATCTGAGGAAGCCCATGGCTATCTATGGGGACAGGTGTGCAACTGGAAAGTTGGTACCCAACAGGGCAGCAGGTTGGGGAGACTAGGGGATAAAGGTGCCAAGTGCCCACAGAGGGCCTTGCACCTGTGAGGCCTGGTGACAGCCCCATTGGATCTTCATGTCTTAAA